CTGGGACAATAGATTTTGAGTGTGGCATGGGAAGAGCAGTAAGAGCCATGTAGCAGCTCCTGGCCCCTGGCCCCAGACCCTGAGTCCTGGACCCATCCTGGAGTGTGGGGTGGGGAGGGGGCAGAGGTTCTGGAGACCCTGCAGGCAAAGGCAAAGAGCAGGGGTCCTGGTCAATGTGTACGGACTGCTTTGAGTCTTTCATCCATTTACATGCCTCACTGTGCTGTGAGCACTTAATGAGTATCCAGCTCTGCTCGACACTCTGCCTTCAGAGGTAAGAAAGGTGGGGTTGAGCCCTGGCTAGGGTGGCTCAGTGGGTTGGGACCAGCCTGCAAATGGGGGGTTGCTTGTTCAATTCCCAGTCAGGGCACGTGCCTGGGTTGTGGGCCAGGTCCCCAGTAGGGGGCACATGAGAGGCAACCACACATTGATGTTTCGCTCCTTTTCTTTTTTCCTCCCTTCCCCTCTCTCTAAAAATAAATAAAATTTTTAAAAAAGAAAGAAAGAAAGATGCTCAGGGCCTGGTGGGAAGACTAGACCCAGGCCTCCTGCCCTTGGAGGCTGGGCAGTTACCATCGGGGGAAGGACAGGAGGGGCGCTGCCATCACTGGGCCCCCCATGCACACACAAGCCTCAGACAACCCCACCCTGTTGTCTGGGCAGCCTGGCCCTGGGACAGCCTTGTGCTGAGGCTGTGGAGCGGGACGTTCCACTGGCGGACGGGGGTGTGGGGCACTGGGCCCTGTGCCAGCTAGTTCCCCCTGGCTACCACCGCCAGGCACGGAGGGGGCTGGAGAGTGAGGCTGAAGGGCAGCCGGCATGGATGTGGGAAAGACTGGCCAGGTCCTCAGTGCCCCGCCCTGCCCTGCAGCCCTGGCCACCTCAGGGCCTCCAGCTGCCAGCAGGCTCTCTGCTCCCCCCTGCCCACCTGGCACCTCTCCTGTGCTTTGGCTGCAGACTCCTGTTTAATGAGGCTTTTCCCCAGTTCCCAGGGAAGGCTGGTAGACAGGGTGAACCCTTTGTCCACCAGGCAACGCCTCACGCCCCACCCCACTGGCCGTCACCCACATACCTGCTGGGCCGGAGGCTGTAGGCCGAGCTGAATCCTGCGGTTTCCCAGGCCTGGCCTGAGCTGTGCTGCAACCTGGAGCTTAACCAGCCTGGCCAAGGAGGGTCAGCTCTAGCCCTCCTGGGGGAGGGGAGGTCCTGCTGAGAAACCACTGAGGAGCCAACACCCGCCCCTGGCCCTGCTCCAGGCAGAGTGGGGCTCTGGGACTGTCTTCCTGCAGCTGGCACCGTGGACCCCAGGCTTTGCTGCTGAGGTTTCCCGGGGCCAGAGGCGCCCACCTGGCAGCCAGGCATACGGCCCCGAGGGCCACAGTGCCAGAGCTGGGCTGAGTGCCAGGGTCTTCTCCGAAGCAAGAGCTGAGACTCAACAGTCCCCTGTGGTTCAGACAGACCTGTGGAGGGTGTTCCTGCCACCTAGTAGGCCAGGACTGCAGGTGTGTGGCCCTCAGGCAGTGAGGGCCCTCAGTCCCAGGTTCCTGAGGCAGTGGACCCTGAGGCTCAGTCACCCTGGCTGCCATGAAGCCTGCTCATGGCTGATGCTGTCTTAGGAACCTATCGATAAAAAGTCTCCAGAGGCTTCCAGGAAGCTTCCCACCTGCATGGGCCCTCAGCTCCTATTCCCCCAAATTCTAGGAGATAAAGCAGGATTATTGCATCTGTGATCAGTGAGGTAGCCAGGGATGGCATACTCATCCTCATTTAAAGAGGGGCAGACTGGCCCAGGGGCCCATAGTGGAAAGGTCAGTGAGCCTAGAGCTGGGCTTCCCAGCTCCTCATCATGGCCCGCTTAAAATCACCACTGGAGTAACTGCAGAGGGAGGCTGGAGACAGCAGAGCATGGGGAGTCCTGGGCACAGTGAGCAGGAGGAGAGGTTGAGGGAGTGGGGGCCGGGGCCTGTGGAGCTTTGGAGGCCCAGGTGAGGCCGTTGGAGGCTGGAGGCAGGGGAGTGCGGGGACCTGCCTTGAGGGACTGGCTGGGGGCAGGAGGCGGCTGCAGTCATCCAGGAGAAACGTAGCTGTGGCTTCGACCGGGTGGGGGGCCAGGAGGGAGAAGGAAGTGGCTGGACTCGAGGTATATTATGAAAGTAGAGCCACTAGGGCTTGCTGACGGCGAAGATGTGTGTGGGGTGTGAGGAAAAAAGAAGAGTCAAGGATGACTCCAAGGTGTTTGGTCTGAGCAGCCAGGAGGAGGGAGCTGCTGTTTGTTGAGGAAGATGGAGAGGAGCGTTTGGGCCGAGGTCAAAGGTTTTGCCTTGGCGTGCTGAGTCGGGGTAGCATTTTAGACCTCTGACTAGCGTTCACGAGGAAGCCTCTGGAGGGGGCGTTCCTAGGAGAGGTGGGCACTGGAGACACGTGCGTGGAGCCATCGGGTGAAGGCCCGGGGTCGGGGGGACACCCTGAGAGTGAGGGAGACAGAGAGCTGGGGGGGCCAGGTTCCAGCCAGGGCACGGGGGACCGAAGAGACCGAAGCGAGGGAGAGGAGGAGTAGCCTGTGAGGACAGAGGAACATCGGCGAGTGTGGTGTTCTGGAAGCCTAGCAAAGAAACCATTTTGAGGAGGAGGGAGAAATCAGTCATGTCCACTGCTGCCGAGAGGTTAGGTCACATGAAGACTGAGAACTGACCAATGAGTTCAGCGACGTGGAAGTCATGGAGACCCTGACAAGAGTCTGGTGAAGGGATGGGGAGGAGCCTGGCTGGGTAGGAGGGAGGGCGAGCCGAGAACTGGAGGCAGGGAATGCAGACAGATCGGCCTCGGTGTACAGTAAAGGGGAGTGGGACATGAGGTGGGAGCAGGACGTGACGGCCAGTTGGTATCGGGGGTGGGGTGGGGGACACAAGACTGGGATTGCAAAGTGCTCCGCCCAGTGCCTGGCATGTGGCAGGCACTCAGCCTGTGAAGGATTTCCCAGGGTCCACATACCCCATGGCTGGCCGGCCCACTCCTTTCCAGCTACCTGCAGGCCTGAGGTGCCCACATCCCACCCTCCATTCCCACACCTGCACCGGCACCGTCACACTGGTGCCTGAGTTCCGTGCTGGAAACAAGAGAAAGCCTGCGAGTGGCACGAGGCTCCCCCAGCACACCCAGGAAGCCTGGCCTCGGAACAGCACCAAGGCCCGGGGACAGCATGGTCCTATTGTCGCCCTCCCGCACCAGGTGGTGCTGCCAGTGGGCTGCCCGGCGTGCCTGTGCCTCAGCCAGCCCCCCACTCGGCAGCGTCAGGCTGAGTGTGTGGCCTGTGGGTGGGTGGCCCAGCAGCAGAGGGCAAGGGAAGTGTGGCAAGGAGCGCTGCCTTCATTCCTGTGTGGGCTCTGGGTGGACAGAGGGCTTTCTGCACGCCCCTTCCTCGTCACCTGACACTGAGTCGTTGAGCTCTTGGGTGTTGTCTGGCTTGATCCTCACAGCATTCTGAGCATCTCCGTTTTGTGAGGAAGTGGATGCTCAGATACTGCAGTAAGTTCTTGCAGAACACATGTGGCTGGCCCGCTACTCCCCAAGTTCACAGTGGAGAACCCTCCAAGGGGCTGCAAAGGTCAGTTCACCTGCCCAAGGAGGCCAGGCAGGCGCTAGCCAGAAGGGAGGTAGGCTCAGGGAGGGGCTGTGGTGCGGCATGCACTCCAGTTGCAGAGGAGGAGCCACCACTGCTGGGACATCAGCCCCTGTCTCTCGGAGGACAAAAGGAAGGCTGGATCAGCCCTGTTTGTCAGGCTGCTTCCCCAAGCTTTGAGGGGAAGGGTACAGTCGGTAGCCCAGCCTCAAGCTCCCCTGGGGCAGGTTGTGGGAGCCTGCGCCCATCTGGTAGCTTCACCCTTTGGCTATCTGTAGTTCATACTCTCCCTTCTCTGTAGCCTCATCCTGGACCCCCAACAGCCAATGTCAAGGGCCCTGTGCTGGGCCTCCTCACCATGAGCTTCCCTAACCTTTCTCCAGACATGAGGACAAGGGACCGTGGGCCCCAGCCATTACACAGAACAGAAAACTGAAGCCCAGAGATGTTGCGCAGTCTGGCTAAACCCAACTAGTGGGAAATTGCACCCACGGGGTGGGAAGGAGCCCAGGCAACAACCTCTCGTTACCGGTTTGCCCCAGAGAAGTCACTCATCTGTGCTCAGCCAGCAGCACCCGTGTCCCTGGACTTAGTGGGAGCCGAGCCTCAGTTGCACACGTCTCCAGGGCTGCACAGATGTGTCCTGAGAACAGGCAGAGCTGGGCCTCGGCCCTGAGCAGTACCCCGTGCCTGGGTTGCATGGGGAGCCCCCTTCTCAGCCTGAGTCACCTCATGACACACCCATGTGACTGGTGTGAAAAGTAAGAGTCCTGTGGTGCTGAGGAAACAGGAAGTGTGGGGTTGGGTGGGTTGGCCCTGGAGGGAGCCTGGCCCCACCTGGCCCCTCTCCCGAGTTAGAGAGTGGAGGGGCTCTCTCCTGTGTCCCCAAATTCTTTCAAGTCTGAGATGGGACAGGGGCTCAGACTCAGGACCCCTAGTCAGGGGGCTGCAGGAGGAAAGCAAGCTCCTAGGGTAGGTGAGGTCCTCCAACCTTGTTCTGATGTATATGAGGCTAGAGAGGCTCTGAGCAAGTCAGAGGGCCTCTGCGACACTGGCAGACCTCCGAAGCCCAGAGGCAGGAAGAAGCTCCTGGCCGGGGAGGTGTGCCTCCTGGGACTGAGTGCACAGAAAGACTGAGGCTCTTTGGGAGGTGTGACTGCTGGGGCCAAGCCTGGGGCTGGGGGCAGAAGGGCTGGACCACTGGACAGCCTGGTTTGAGTGGTGCCCCTCCTGTGAGCCTGTGGTTTTGACCGCCCCCATTTTACTTGACAGTTGGGCTGCCCACACACACAGCTAATCGGGGCTCTGCCCACACGGAGCCCAAGGCCCGTGCCTGCTTCCCTCAGGTCTCTCCCCACATTCACCCGTCCTTGTTTTTCAGCACAACAAGACCAGCCAGCCCACCCACGGTGTCCCCCAGCTCTCCCCTCTCTACGAACACTTCAGCAGCCCACACCCCACGCCTGCACCGGCTGACATCAACCAGAAGCAAGGTATAGACCTGGGATGGGGAGGGGCCCAATGAGACAGGTGATGGCCCTTTTTACAACTGGAGAACATGGGGCTCTGCAAAATCAGGAACCCCTCACCTCCTGCAGAGTTCCAGAACGCTGGATCAGGGGGCCTGGGGATACCAGAGGGCTGGGGGAGATGGTGCCTGGTGGAAATCCGAAGGCTTCAGGTTGAGGTGGGAACCTCCCAATGCAGTATGAGAGCAGGCGTCTGTGTGAAGCTGATAACTATAAAACTTGCAGGCTTTCCCTCCCCCAGTGAGAAAATGGAAAGTGGTGGTTGTGATGGCTGATTCACCTCGGCCTCAGGCAAAGTCATTCTGAAATCAGCCACTGTCGACTGTGGGAAACCTGCTGACTCAAAGGGGGGTGAGGGGTGGTTTGGAACTCTGGCTCCATAGGCCAGGTTCCCCCAGACTAGGGGCCCCGGCAGAGAGGCTCCTGTTGCAGACTGGTGGTGGCGAGGCCTGGTGTCCATTTCTGGAATGGCTCCAACTCTGCCAGGGGCCAGCCAGTGTCCTCAGGCACATCCCCCACCTCCTCTGCCCTGGGCTCCCTAGCCTACAGGTAAAGCACTGCCACCACACTGGGGCAGTCCTGAATGAAGCTGTATGTCTGGTACTCGTGCAAGGGGCGGGGGGGGGGGGGGAGGAGGGCGGATTGCAGAGGCCCCCACAGGAGGCTCTAGGATGCAGGAACTAGCTAAAGGGGCTTCTGAGTCAGGCTAGCTCACTCGGCCCCTCTCCACTGCAGTTCACAGGCCTCTGCAGACCTCTGACCTCTCTGGCTTCTACTCTCTGACCTCAGGCAGCATGGGACAGCTCCCCCACACTGTGAGCTGGTGAGTGTGGGCCCAATGGGAAAGGGGCACCTTCTGCTGACTGGACCCATACCTGCCCTTCTGTTTTCCTCCTCCGTCCTGTGCTGAGCACCATTGCCATCTCTGTATAGGCACCAGGCTGGCCAGCAGCTCTAGCCATTCCCCTGGTGGCCTGACATACTCCCTTCAGGAAGACAGGAGACTAGGCTGCGGTTTCAGCCTGTTGCCCTTGAACTCTGCTTCAGTGTCTGAGATTTGAATGAGAGAACACTGGGCTGCTCGGGGCCATATGAGCGATGAAGTAAAGGGAGGCCTGAGCAGGGAGCTAACAGCAAGAATGGCCATAAGTGAGGCTGTTGCTTCTTGGCCACCTAGTGGGCAGGAGGATACTTCCCACTTGCCTCAATGCCTGCTGCTGACTGGTCACTTCCTTGGCTGAGCAGCTTGAGGGGCAGGGTCCCTTCCTTGTCCCTATGGTGGCTACTTGAGCCCAAGCCCCTAGCCATGAAAAGCTGGCTTGGATGGACCCTAAGTCAGCAGGCCCAACTGTGGTCCAAAGGGCCTGTCTTCAGTTGGAGCTGGTCTAGCAGGCTAACTGGCCCTTTGTCGGCACCGCTGTGTGAGACTTGCGCAGGTCTCAGCCTCTCTGGCCTGGGGCAGCCACTTCACAGCGGGACAGTCTGGCTTCCCCAGAGGGCAGGGTAGGCCAGAGGCCCAACCTCAGAGCCTGCCTGTCCCTTTCCACTGTCCCTGTATCCGTGCATCTCTCTATGTCTAGATTCTCCTTGGACAAAGCTCCACTCTGAAAACCAACAAGGGCTACTCCCACAAGTACCCCCAGGTTTGAAGTGTGCCAGACAAGGATCTGGGCACCAGAGAAGCACTGCTGACGCTGGCTGATCCTAAGGCCCCCACCCTCGCAGAACTTGGTCTGTGACACCCAGACAAGAGTCAAGCCAGTGGCAAGGCACTGTTAGCAGGGCTTTGACTAGGGACTGTAGGAACCCAGGGGGCACTTCATCTGGCTTGGGATCCCAAGGCCTTTGGGGAGAAAGGGTCATTTAGGATGGCCAGGGGCTGAAGCAGGCGAAGTGGGATGGGAGTACAAGCCTGATGGTGTCGGTAGAGGGGGCAAAGGCCCTAGGACAGGTATCAACTCTGTACTGACAGGGACATTTCACTTCAGCAGGTAAGGCTGGAGGGGACCTGGGGGCCCACTGAACTGGCTCCTGGGAGAATGTGGCCATTTCTACCCCTGAGGCAGCAGTACAAGCCTGTAGGGGGAAATAGGTGCAGCACAGGTTGCCCTCTGGTGGCAGATGCTTAAAACACACTGGAGTGGTCCAAGCACAAGCTGATTTGCCTCACAATCTAGGGTCAGGCTGGAGCATGGAGGGAAGTCCTTCTCCACATATGGCCAGTAGCAAGACTGCTAACAGCTGTCTCTCCCAACCACAGGCCCAGCCCTCCTCTCTACCCCCTGTCCCCTTCCTGCGGATATAGACAGCACTTCCCTGCCCCCACTGCAGCCCCTGGCGCCCCCTACCCCAGGTGAGTCCCCTACCCTGCAGCCAGGCTCCTGCTTCTTGTTGCCCAGGCTTCAGTGCCCACACAAGGCCATGCCCAGGTCACTGCTTGCCCTGTGCTAGTCGTTTGTCCATCCGTCTGTTTGTCATTCTGCAGCGTCTCGCTGCCCTGTGCCTGAGAAGGAAGCCAGTGGGACTGCAAGAGGCCTATAAGCCCAGGCCAAACTGCAACAGCACCCCAGAGCAGCCAGGGACAGTGCATGCACACGGGTGCTCGTGCTTCTGCCTCCATGCATGCATGAGTCAGCCCGTGTGCAGGTGTGCATGCACTCACCGCTGTTCTGCATCCCTGCTGAGGGAAGGGCCGGTCCGGACTTTCCTGGACATTCCCTGAGCTCCGCCCAAGCTGAGGCAGCATTGCTACATGTGTCTCCAAGCTCTGGCCTGCTTAGGGACCCTACATCTGTTCAAGCAGGAAGGAGCAGAGTGGTATCCGTAGGACAGAAAATGAAGTGGGAGGTGGTAGAGTGTTTGTTTCTTTACTTAGTATCTTTCACTGAGGGAGTGAGCTAAGTTTGGAAGAAGGAATTCAGCAGACTTCTCCAGCGCTGTGCAGCTCACAGGGTAGGGGCATCAGCAACTGAACACTATGTGGGTGTTGGGGGGGCCCCAAGGAGACCCCAGCCAGACCTGCTGTGTCACAGAGCTTCTTGAAGGGTTAAGATCTCCTGAGTGAGGGGGACAGAGGGAACAGCAGTAGCTGGGGATGGCTGGGGCAGGAAATGATGGGAAATGGGAAAAGATGGGGCTAAAATGTCAGCAGAAATGGTCAGCAGGGCTCTGGGCAGTGGGAGAATTTCAGCAAGAGTAGCCAAGAGCACTCAAGTCCTGTTAAAAGGTTGTGTGGAGAGAGCCCTCGAGTCCTATCTGAAGGGTGAGGAAGCCCACAAGGCAGTCACAGGCTCATGAGGCTGAGCTGGAGAAGGCAGGAGGTGACGAGGGATGAGATTCAAAAGCTATTTTAGGCCTTAATTTAGTCATCACCTAAATGATGTAGAAGATTTTTGCAGTATTGTCTGTGTAACGTGTTGGGAGCAGGTATTTGTATGTGTTGGTGTTTATATGCAAGCCAGTGGGGCTGGGACATCTGTTCACCTGTCCTTGTTTACTGTGCAGGGCCTCTGTGTGTCCTAAGATCTGGCCTGTGCACACCTGGCTCAGAGTTAACTCTCTTCCTGCTTCTAGGTTCACCCACCCATCCCTGATGCTAGGTTCTGGCGTACCTGGTCACCCAGCAGCCATTCCCCACCCAGCCATTGTGCCCGCCTCAGGGAAGCAGGAACTGCAGCCCTATGATCGCAGCCTGTGAGTGAAAAGGCACACAGTGGGGAGGAGGGAGGGAAGCAGGTGAGCAGACCCCAGACTCCCATCTGTCTGTCAGCCAGGATGCATGTTTCTTCTACCAGGCTGAAGGCCTGCTGCCTGGAAGCTCCAGGGACTACCAGAGGTCTCCAGCCAAACTGTCTTGTGGCTTTTGCCACTGACCACTGTTTTTTTTTTTTTTGAGCTTCAGAAGGAGGGAGTAGGTGGAGTGGGAAACAAAGATTTAGTTTAAGCCAAGATGAGAGTGGCTGAGAAGTCTTTATGCATGCTTTTCTTACTTAGCTGCAATATACCTGTAAGGAACTAACTCTGCTAGTCAATTTTGGAGCAGCTTTAAAAAAAAAAAAAAAAAAGATTCCGTTTACAAAAGCCAAAGTATCCACGCCCTTATCACGTGCACTGGATATAGTAGAGGAGGGCGGTAGCATTAGGTGGCATTGCAGGGGTTCCCAAGTGATCTGGACATGCACCCCTCAGGAAGACACAAGCAGAATCCAAGGCAGAGAAGGAAACCAAGAAGCCAACCATCAAGAAGCCACTCAACGCCTTTATGCTGTACATGAAGGAGATGAGAGCCAAGGTCATTGCAGAATGCACACTCAAGGAGAGTGCTGCCATCAACCAGATCCTGGGCCGCAGGGTGAGGCCACTGGCAGGTGGGCTGGCGGGGGTGGCCCCTGACCACCTTCACCCTGGTGCAGCCTGCTCACTCCCTGATGCACTCCCTCTGTGCCCCTTTCCCCTCTGCAGTGGCACGCACTGTCACGAGAAGAGCAGGCCAAGTATTACGAGTTGGCCCGCAAGGAGAGGCAGTTGCACATGCAGCTATATCCAGGCTGGTCAGCTCGGGACAACTACGTGAGTGGCCAACAACACACAGTAGGGATGGGTCGGGGAACCTTTCAGATTCCATGCCCCCACAGCACAGTCTCAGCAAGGAAAGCAGGACTACTGTCCCGAAGGCACAGAGGAGGGGAGGTGGTAGACTGGAGGTGTCCAAGGCCTCCCACAACTAGCTCAGAAGAGGGTCAGGCAAGGGGAGCTGCCGATAAAGGCAGGCCCGTGTCCTTTTTTCCACCCACAATCTACTCCCACTCCATGCAGGGCTATTGCCCTATATTTGATTTGGGCTCATAAGCAGAAGGGAGGAAGGGGCCTGGAAGTTACCTGTTCCATTCAAAATGGAGACCGGTGTGGGAAAGAGAGGAGAGCCCCTAATTGTCTCATGGTTTACCTAGGAAGAACTGCAATCAAGAAATCCTAGGGTCCCCAGGTAGAGACTCTGTGCCTGGAATCCAGTGTGCCAATGGCAGCCAGGCTCGGCAGCTGACTGCAGCTATCCCAGCCACTCTCTCACTGGGGTTAGTGTCCACCTCCTAAGATCTGATGATTCTCTCCCTTTGTTTCCTGCAGGGGAAGAAGAAGAGGCGGTCCAGGGAAAAGCATCAAGAATCCAACACAGGTGAGACCTTCCCTCGGCAGTAGTGAGGCTCCTCTCCAAGTCCCCATTTGACAAGCACCACTAGTCTGGCACAGGGGGAGGGGCAGAGTACTCAGCCACCAACCTTCAGTGCCTGGGCCCTGGGCTCTCTGGAAACATGGCCTGCACCTCACAAGTCAGATCCCTACTTGAGGAATAGCTATGCTAAGTCTTAGGGAGGACCGGTAGAAGCCAGTTCACATAGCCATGGTGTGCGGGCCCATCACATTTGCTAGCCCTGTCGTGCTCACAACTCACCTCTGCCAGGGGAAGTGAGTGAGGAACTGATTGTACGATCCACGCTAAACCCAACACTGCATCCTGAGGGTTCTGAGGTGGACAGCCTGCTGTCTGCGTGGAGACTGAGCCAGAACCCATGCCTACGCCCATGGTCACACAGCCTGCTGGCTAGTGCCTGGCGATTTACCCCCGCCCACAGCAATGCTGTGTAGAGGACTGAGGGAGCCCACACTCTGCTGCAAGTGTCCTTCATCTGGGTGGATTCCTGTCCCAACTCTGATCCACATTCATGAATGACTTTCTAAGTTGTGCTGCTCCCCCACACTCCAAGTGGGGCAGGGCAGGCTTCAGCCCTTTTTCTGAGGTTGAAGAATGGGTTCTACTTTTCATCTAGAAAAGTGTGTAGAGTAGGTTTAAGCCACAGCATGGAGGGTATGGTTTAGGCAGATAGGGCGTTGGCAAAAATGGCGGGGGAGAATAAATTGGCAGGGAATTCAGGGGTGGAGACAGACCTAAAGCAGAGGAGGCTAGATCTGGATCCCCAAGAGCCTCCCTGGGTTCTTTCACAGCTCTTATGCTGCAGGGAGCCCTATAAGCCTGAGGAGCCAGCATGATAGGGTCCTCTCTCTTCCCCACCATTCTTCCCATTGCCTCTTCTGCCCCACTGGGTGCCATGCACACCTTTCCTAATACTTTGGCTCTGGGCCCTAGGGCTTCCCACTGGGGCTGGCTGTGCTTTAGAGAGGCCCTCTGCCTTTTGGAGCTGTGGGGTACCTGTGACTGGCTAACACTGATGTTACCTCTTCTCTCTGGGCCCTGCTCTGCCCTGCTGCCTGCCTGCTCGCCCTCTGCCCTGCTCTGCCCCTCTGGCATGGCTGTGAGCAGACCCTGGCTCGCCTAAGAAATGCCGTGCTCGCTTTGGCCTCAACCAGCAGACGGATTGGTGTGGTCCGTGCAGGTGGGTTTGTCCCCACCACCATCCTCCCTTTGCTTCAAGCTGCTTCCCTGACTCTGCATATGTTCTGCTGGGCCTATAGCCTTCCTTTCCCCACCCCCACACCCCAACCCCCTAAGATACCTGCAGATTGTGGAGCCCATGCCACCTAAGAATGGGAGTGAACACTGAGCACAGTTCGTAGGGAAAATCACTTGGCTCTAAGTGGAAGGAGGGGAAGAGACAATGTTCGGGAAGGGAAGGGAAGGGAAGCTCAAGAAGGTAGTTCTGATGCCTACAGTCCTCAGGTAATGATCATTTGGTGCTAACCAGGCCTAGCTGGTCCTCAGTAGCCAAATAACACCATTCAGGTGGCCTCAGCCCCTGGTCTCAGGCCTGAAAGTCATATGGCCAATCAGTTCCATCACTTCGAATTGGGATCCCTGCCTCAGCCCTTAAAGCTAAGGAAAAAAGGTGACTATAGTAGAAAATACCATGAATAACCTGGATGCCAAGTGGCAAAGTAACTCATCATCTTTTACCTACTGGGACCAGAGGGCTGGAGAGGAAGGGAGAGAGAAACAGGGCTTGTAGCAACAGCTCTGTTCCACCACACAACAGAAAAAAATGCTTGTGTGTGTGAAAAGAATACCTACCAAGTGGCTAAAAGTTGCCTAATTCACGTTCACACCAGGCCTTGTAGAGCTGAGGCTGAGGCTAGCTCCAGACTTAGAGCTAGTTCACTGACTCTAAGTAATGTCTGTCCAGCCCCTCAGGCGGGCCTGCCCGCGATGCTCCCTATCGAAGTGCAAAAAGGAATCGGGGAATACGTATATGTGTGTATGAGTACATGGTGGGAGGTAACCCTATCCTCATAGGAGGCCCTCATTCTACCCGTCCTACACTACTCAGAGGCAGACTGTGTCCCAGAGAACTCAAGATGGTTAGAATGGATGAGGAGAATCACTCTGTTTCTTCTTCCCCTTCTCTGCCCCTAGCCTAGTTTTGAGCACTGGGATTGCTCAGCCCAAGAAGTGACAAGCATTGCAGCACCCTTGCCTTAATGCAGATGTGAACCCCACAGAAACACGTGAAACAGGCTTGAAGGCCCAGACCAGATATGGCTCCCGTGGAAAACAAAGACAACCCACAGGCCCCAGCTACAAAAGGTCCCTGTGCCACCATGTGGCTGTGCTGGGAACTGCACCTGTCCCAGGTCTGGCCAAGCCCAGCAGAGTAGCAGTGCTGATTCAGCTCTGAAGGCATAAACAAACACATCAGCCATGTCCTGGGGAGAGGGGACAAGAGGTCAGCTAGGCCTGTGCAAGGATAGCATTTTTTGGTTGTGGTGTATGACTATGAATTCACCCTCTGTTTACAGATAACTCTCTTCACTATTCCTAGGAGGAAAAAGAAATGCATTCGGTACTTACCCGGAGAAGGCCGCTGCCCCAGCCCCGTTCCTTCCGATGACAGTACTCTAGGCTGCTCCGGGTCCCCAGCCCCCCAGGATTCACCCTCATACCTCCTGCTGCCCCACTTCCCCACAGCACTACTTGCTAGCCCTGCGGAGCCAGCGCCTGCATCACCAGGTCTCTCGGCGGCTCTCAGCCTCCCAGCCCCGTGGACCCCCACAGGCCCCCAGCAGTGCCCTGCAGAGTACACAGGGACAGCAACAGGAATTTTGGAGACAGGCAGCCTAGCATGCACAGGACACCTGGTCTCCAGGGACCCAGTCTTTGAGAAGCAGCAACAGAGCCCCAAAGCATGTGGAAACCAGCCAGGGGCCCTGTTAATTCCTGAGGGTCCGGGTGCTGATTTCAGAGGCTGCACAACTTCTGCCTAAACCTGGGGCCATCAATTCAAACTGCTCCGAGTGGTGCATCACATCTGTGTTATCATTTGATTAAGGGCATTTCCTGTGCCTTGTGGCAGCTTGCATCTGTTCTTTTTCCATCCATCTTGCTAGCCAGATGCCCCAGCCGCTTTCCCTACCCTGCCTCTCTAGCCCACCTCCCTACTCCCTCCCCATGCCGGGCACTTCATGGACCAAGGATGAGCTGGTTTACCAAACGTGAGCCTGGCACAACCACAAAGCTCAAGATGACCATGCTTTCTCTTAAGGGCCTAGAAAAGCCATGTTTTACAGAAAACTAGCTGCCATTTGAATGCTGGACTGGAGAAATCCTGCCACATTCTCAGGAAGTTCAGTAAATGGGATGGAATAGGTTAAGTTTAGGCCTATCACCCTAGGCAACAGAAAAACCTGATACTACCTTAATCAGGTGTGTGGGTGGTGGGGATTATCTGGCTCTCTAGTTCAAATTACTTGGAAATGATTCCTGAGAAACTCAATCACCTAAGAAGCCCCGATAGCAAAGCCCCAGACCTGTCACTAGTGACTGTAGTCAACAGTTCAAAGAAGTCATGGCCCAAAATCTGGTTTGCATCCCTCCCCATTCTGAGAGGCTTTTTCACAGATCCATTTCTAGCTTATCCACCTCAGTCTAGCCAGCTTCTGGGCAGCGGTGAGAAGCCAAACGAAACCAGGCCAGCTTCAGTTTCCCGATGGGGCACCAGGAAGGAGGACCATTGCAGCCAAAGCAAGGAGCCCAGAAAACCTCCAGTGGTAGACTAGGCTCTCACCACAGCCTAATTAACCCAATTCTGAGCCAAGCTTCAATCCTGAGCCTTAAAAACAAAAAAAAACAAAAAAAAAACCCACCTTTTTAATTTAACTTGGGTTTTTGGTGCCTCCTCACTGTACATAGCCTGAATCCAAAGAAAAAGGGCTGTCCCTGTACCCACACACACCTCCCTCAACAAAAGCCTTTAGTTCCTACTTTAGCCACTGGCTTCTCTGATTCCAAAGATCATATATTCTACTGTAGTGTTGCAGGAAGTCTTAAGAAAAAAAGGCCATTGTAGTATTAAAAATATTTTTGTATTGTTAAAGCATCATCATAGAAAAACTTTTTAAACATGAGAATAAAGATACTTTTTACTGTTTTTTTTTTCCTCCCCTCCTCGAGGCTTGACCCTGAGAAAAGCTGTTTCAGGAACAGCATGATATCCTTTTCATCACAGCCATGAAACTTGAGGTTGATACGCTGCTATGGTACATGTTAAGACTTTCAACCTGCAGAAGCCAGGGACGACTCTCACCTCCCCTTATAGGGCTTGGGCCCTGCTGAGCTCACGCTAGGCATAAGCTCCCACTCCAAGCCTTGCCCTTACCCACCAATCCTAACAACTGATATAGGCACAGACCAGCCTCTCCCTCCCATTAGAATGGGTTGGAAACTGCTACCCACAGACCCTAAGACAATCCAACCAGAAACGGTTGCACCTAACCAACCACTTGGCTCCGTTTTGTCTGAGGGTTGAGATTAGATGACCCATTCCGTAAGTGCATATCCTATTAGGAAAGTAAGCAAGTCTTTTTGTATACTGGTACAAAATCCAAAAAGGTATTTAGTTAGAACCCTTTCCTCCCAGAGACTATTAAAGTGATTCGAGTATATTCGTATTTTTATATAAAACCTCTGAATTCGATAAACCTCCAACCTACTTTCCACTGCATTAGAACCCACTGCTGAGGCCCATCATGAATGTAGAAGGTGCCACAGGGCCACCTCAACAGGCCCACTAGCCACTAGATGCACTTGAGAACTGTGTGCAACAAGCAGCCACTGGGCCGCCATCGTGCATTGTTAATTTTCACTGACTTATATTTTTTATGTTTAAAAATATTTATAAATAAAGTCATCTTGCAGAGGAGTGTCTATTTAAAGTAGGCCATTGGAAGTTGTAATCCTAGACTTTTTTTCTGGAAGGGTACTAGAGACCAGCCATTCTCTTGACATCTGTCCCATTTAAAGAATTCCACTCTGGCTACTGGCCTAGATGTTTCAAAAAACTACATTCTAACCAAGGCTTATGCAAGACTGGGTTGCTGCATCTGATTAGGTGTCTTATTTAGAGTACACTGGGTACATGAACAATGTACTCTTTGTGTTAAGTGAGGGTAGAAGAGAGGGGCTTTGGCAACATTGTTAAAATCCAGCCTTAAAAAAAATGACATCCAAGAAGAAACTCAAACCCTCCCAGGTCACACCAGTGCATTCCTATGAGGTCTCGGTGGCTTGAGTGTGCAGCCCCCAATTCAACTGAATACCACACCAGTCCCGGCTGACTGCCAAGAGCCAACCCTATTTTCTGAGACGTGACAAGATACCCCAACCTCCCTTACACATTCCCACACAACTGGCAGGTTTGCTTAAACTCTAGATCTTGAGCCCTCTCTTCCTGCAGCTGCTCCCACTGTGCTCAGGATATTGTGACGGCTCAGCCTGGCAAAGTAGCAGGGACTTACCAAGTCTTCCAATATGAAGGTGTTCTTGTGTGTTTCTAGAAAAACATCACATAAGGAACTTGCCAGGCCTATACACCAAAGTTGAATGTTTGAGACCGAAGAGTAATTCATAACATAAAAACACTGAAATGGCTTTTGAGGTTGAACCTCAAAAAGCCATTGGAATGAGCATAGAATAGGTCAATGGCTTTAGCATGACCTTCTCAGGTCTCTTCAGAACTGTTAGTTCACCTGAGTCCTTCCCATGCAAGAAGACTCTGGTTCTTAGGTGGGTCTACTCTCTTCATCACTTAGGGATTCTGTTTCACCATGGGACTACTTCAGGCTGCTGGACACCACTGGTCTTGTCCACAGTGGCCACATTGGTCTGAGAGGAGTCCTAACTTCATGTACTCAAACCACAGTTTAAAAACAACATATGGGGATGTTCCCATAGTTTCCTAGAATAAAAACCAAGCTTAGGTCAGGGGAGATTTTGAAGTTAAGTATGGGACTTAACTATGTTACAGAATGACATGCTTATGATTTTGTAACCAAAAAAAGGGGGGGGGGGGCGTTATTTGTGCCAGACCCTGTAGATTTCTGAGATTGTAGCTCTATTCCCACCCCACCTGGAATTGAGACAAATCTCTGCAAACCATCTGAAGCCAAAAAAAAGGAAGGCTGAGGCTGTGAAATGGCACACTCAACACTGAAAGGACACATGAATTTGCCCCGTACAGGTGGGAGACATTTGAGAGTGAGAGCCCTTTTATGGAATAGGCTGATCTTAGAGTGAAAGAAGAGGCTGGCATATAGCAGGTTAGGTGTTTGATAAATACTTCCTGAAAATGTTAAAGTTCAGTGGTATCAGAAGGTCATGAGAACTAGAGAAGAGGAAGCAGATGATGATGTGAGCAACTGTTTCTCCCACAAAATGCCTTTCAGTATTGCCAAACAGACCAGTTGTATCCAACAGTGCAAAATTCTGCAAGACAGAATTTTGAGTGAGTTAATCATACAAACGAAGTCTCATATTGGAAATCTGTCAAACAAAGGCACCTTCAATACCTTTATGCCACCAACAATGCTCATAACTACTGACAACCCAACAGGACAACTCAAGTGGAAGGACCAAGTGTCCAAATCCTGCTTAGGTGTCCAAATGGCTCAAACTTGGGTCAAAGTATATGTTCTAAACTACTACTTACACCATCCTTTGTCTTGATATGCACATTGAATTCTTACTCATTTTTTAAGATAGTGATTTTTAACAACAGTAAACAAGGACTCTAGTTGTAAAATCCCCAATATTCAGATTACTTTAGTAATTTAAAAAAGTACTTGTAGTTCTGAGACTCAAAAATAGCAATGCCTAGCATGAATCTGATACTCGAGGAAGGGTCATGAAAACTCACCAATCTGGCCTTACTATCACTTTCCAGCCTATATTTGCCAGCAGCCTCACCAACACCCAACCTTCTGCTGCCAGTTTCAGACTGAACTGCTTTGCCCCTCACCTTGGCATTCCTTCATTCCCAATGAAATCCAGCTCCACTTTTGAAACAAGTTTTTCCTCATAGAACATTTTCTAGACCCTTCCAGCCCTGTAACCCCCAATTTGCTCATCAATCTTGTTCTGTCCAGGAACATTTTTATTGAAGTTATTCATCCTTTCCCAGCTTTGCCTCCTTAACTATTCCAAAAGATGCCAAGAGGGCAACCATGTCTTATACTTCCTACGAAGGATAAGCCAGGAGCTACACTTTAGGTAGTCAGCCATTTCATACACTTTCCCTTTACTTACATTATTGTCTTTTATTCTCTTCTTTCCTAGCTGGAAATCAGTTTTCACACAAATCCAGATCACTGAAGATTATCATCTTTTTAAAGCTCAGGCAAATTTGTACAGAAAACATTTGATTCCTCCCTGCTTGAATATACAGAGATTTAGAAAGAGAAAACTCAGATCTTCGAATGGAAGTGGTGGCAAGCAAAAGTTAAGTTTTGAAAGATGAGTGAGATTCTGATGGCCGTGGATAGGACAAAGGGCATTCAGAGCAAGAAATGTGCCGTTCTTAGTTCTCTCCTGGGGGAATGCCCCTTCCTATGTCTCCTCAAACTGCTATTAAGAGCCTAGACAACCTACCTACAATTTCTTCTTAATTTACCAGTGGATCAGAAAACAAATTACAATATTGGCCAATTTTTAGGTAAATTAAGAGACCATGCTGTTTGGAATATTTGCCTGCCCTGAGTCACGTGCCCATAGTGGCTCACCATTACTCTCCCCCTCCAGCTAGTTCCAAGCTAAGCTCAGCACTGCCATGACATCAGGTTACAGGGCTGCAGTCCCAGGAGTCCACTAAGTTATAATTCAGATTTAGTCCTAGCAGCTAGAATCAACAAATCACAGTTGTATCACTCAGGCATCTGTAACTTAAAGGGATGCCTTTGTGAAACTTTGAAAAAATATAAAAATTATAAAGTAATACCTATCTTGCATGTTGTTAAAGGTAGATTTATGAAGGCAAGCTAATGAAATATGGGCATTATTACAATAAATAATGTAAATGTAAAAAAAATATGGGCATACTCTGGGATACTTCAGGTTCGGTTCCAGAGCACCACAATGAAGCGAGTGTTGCAATAAAGCAAGCAGTAATCTTTTTGTTGGTTGAGGTTCTTACCTTCAACTAGTAAAGCAGATCTGTTAAGTGCCATAAAACGAAATACAAGGAAATGTCTGGATAACCACTTCAAAAGAGGTAACTTACTTTTATAATTTAAAAATTATTAGAATCTATTTGAGGGGCCTCATCCTTAGTCCACAACAATGTCAGAGAGAAAGTAATAAGGGGTTTGGTTTATTTTTTGATCACAAGTGACATAAGTCAATGAAAAGCTCTAAAGTGGAAGGACTGTCACAAAGGAGCCTTCGTCACCCACAGCACCACACTGCAGGTAGCTACTATTTCTGAGTTATCCAGGCCAGTGGGCACTAAGACAGAGGCAGACGTGCCACAGTGTTAGTTTAGAAAAGTTGGGAAGTGAGCGGATAGGCAGGGGTGGGTGCATCTTTGAAGACAGGTTTGCCTTTTATGGGAAAGGGCCACTCACTTTGCCTGGATAAGATGAGAATGTGAGAAACTCTTGGTAGACATAGTAAAGGAACAGCATATAGCAAGGGAGACAGAAAAGAGAAGGAAAAGAGTGCACCCGACAGCCTGAAGGGTCTCTTAATACTATGCATGCCTACAATTTAGTTGGGTACACAATGTCCACAAATGGCCTATTTACTCTTGGATAAGCTGTCAGATCTATATTAAACATGAAGAGTTTAAGATTATCAGGACCTATTTGTTTAAAAACCAGGGCCATAATCTATAGAAAGTCAGAAAGAGAACAAAACTTTGAACTACTGCATTGTTTGTCCACTCAATCTCAGCTATTCAGAAAGGACCCAGTATCCTTTACATATGGGTAGTGAGGTTCTTCAGTCCTGTGATTCTAACAATTTGGGGGCATTATATGGATCAAGAGCTAATAATAATAATAGTAATAATAATAGGCTCTTGTTTCCTAGAACCTGTTATTTCACTTCCAAATTAAACACAGCATTTGCTAATAATCTTAGACTTTCAGTAAAGATTTGTGTTTGTCATAATATTGCTATACTTGGGTATACTTGAGGTGGTTAAGCTTTTGGTCAGAGCTGACCATTACAGCAAGAATTAGGAGATGAGACACTCCAGCCACAATGAAATTCTGCTACCTTCACCACTAAAACTAGGATAAATCAAAACAAGCTTATTCCCTGAGAGTAAAAGGAATCAGGAATTCAGAAGTAGTCACAAGGGTTGGCAAACTTTCTGTGTAAAAGGCCAGAGAGTTAACATTTTAGGCTTTTGGTTAAGTCCAGTCTCTGTGTATACATTTTTTAACAATCCTTTAAAAATGTAAAATTCATTTTTAACTCACACACTGCACAAACAGGTTGTGAGCTGCATTTCACCCACACACAGGCTGTAGTCTGCTATCTCCAGTACAGCCAACAAATGGGGATTCATGTGATACAGCAAATGGGACTTTATTAAATAAGATAGATTTGGGGCAAATAAAAGGTGAAGTATAGGCAAACTGCTGTCAATAATCGGAGCCAAAACAGCTCAGAGTAAATACAAAGAGAACACAACAATAGGGCTACATGTGAATAGAGGTGACGCTAACTGGTAAAGGAAGAAAAAAGGAAACAGAGGAAAGGAAAAAAAATAAAAAATTTGCGAGCCATCTCAGGCCATCAAGAAAACATCTTTCTACTGTAGGGGAGAGGGTGAAAACAACAGCAGCACAGTCTGGATGCCGGAGCACACCATGTAAGAACTGAGACACGGGCTCCAGCCACCCCTCCATTGACATCAGAAGAGACAAAAGTCCATCAGAACAC